GAAATAGCGTTTAGTTCCAGGTTTTATCCAGCAGCCCAACAAAGCCTGGTTTTAGTTTAGAAAACATGCAGATAGAAACGGATGAACGGGTCCCCCCCTTTGGAATGGGGGTCCTTTGGTTGTTTTGTTAGTCTAAACTAAAACCAGGCTTTGCTTTGGTCCATAGAAAAATCTTCCTGGATGGAAGAGAAACGTCTTCAAACTGGGAAACACAGTCTGGTTGATTGATTTTATTTTCTGGACTGACTCTGATCTGGATGACTGAGGATCTCCACCAACATCTTCCAACTCAGAGCTTTTTGAAGCGTAAAACACTGAAAAACGTCCAACAACGCTTCACTGAAGTTCTAATACTAGCTGCTTTAAAAACAGGAAGCTGACATTTTTATTTCTCTCTCCCTTTTCAACAAGTCAAAGTTAATGTTTCCTCTTTTCCAAACTGATGTTCAGGGACAGAAGATAAAGTTTAGATCTTTTATTAGAAATGAATGCAGAAAAATACTGAATTTAATTAGTTTCCCTTTCATTTAAACAACAAAGATGTTCTGAGAAAACCTTCGCTGTGATGCCAGACAGGCAGCAGCCAGAGGACTGATTTAAATTCAATTCTTTAAAAAAAATTGTTATAATAAATGTAGTCTCCAATAAATAACTAAAGCAAAAACATTCCTCAAAGTTTGTCTTTTTATTGAGTCTTTTTACTCTGATAAAATCCAATGATTAAAAAACATTAATGTTGATGTTCTTTATGTAAATATCATCATAGATAGTTATAGCAAAGTTTTTTACACGGCGTGGAACATTTGTTCAAACACAGAGTAAATAACACCCCCCCCCGCCCCGCCTGCTAACCCCGCCCCCCGCCCACAAAGCTCATCATAACTGAAGCTGCAGGAATAATTTGATGGAATTATGCAGTGAATATAAATGTCAAATGTTCGGCAGTCAATTATCAGACTTGAATAGAAACTCTGGGGATGTGAGGGATTATTTAAAGAGCCTGGGGGAGAAAAGCACGGCATAAATAATAAGGGTTTCATTCTGACCAATGGGGGGGGGAGCAGAACCTGAGCAGCTCCATAAAGAGAAGTGTCGCCATTTTACTGACATACGTCTGAGTTCAGAAGCTGCATTCAGCAGAAACCTTAAATGGAAACAACATCCAGTCCATTTAAGGTCTATTATGCCACATAGATTATACATAACATGAGGTCTTAACTGTAAAACAGCATCTAGTTTTTCGTAGAATCCGTTCAGAAAATCTAAGTTCAGCTGCTGAAACGCTTTAGGAATAAAAGAAAGCTGCAGGAGCTCATCTCAGAATCTAATTTACATCTTTTATTCTGCCGTTCTCTGCCGTTCGTTTAGAAACCCACCGCATAACTACGGCCTGTCTGGAAAGTTTGCTCTAAAAAGGATTTTTCAGCAAAACTTTCTTTTGAAAAGTTGAACCTCGTTGAACTTCTTAACGTTTGCAGCAGCGCTAAGACAGCCGAGACCAGACCAGAACGCTGGTGTGCATCAAACTAAAAGATTCATCTGTGTGCACAAAATGTGGTTTCTATCCGTCTTTATTTTACCACAAACGCCTTCATCAGTGGTTTTATAGACAGCTGATTATTTTACGCACAGTTAAGAAATTATTTAGACAAAATCCAGCAACAAATGTAAGACAGGACAATTAAAAACGATCAATATGTGAAGATCAGAGATTAATGCTCATCCTGACTGATTTACCACCGCTGCAAAAAATGTTAATATAAATAAGATTTGTTTTTTAAATAAATGCATTTGTTTTTAATTGAGGAGGTCAGTGAGACACTTTTCCAATAGAACGAGACATTTGACATTTAAAATGCACTGCAAAAACAAACTAGAAATAAGCAAAACAATTCTTAAATTAAGTGTAGTCTTAATTTGAGAAGGTAAATAAGATTATTTGCAAATGGAATGAATATTTTTACTCTTAAAATAAGATCATTTGATTATATGCACTTGAAATAAGTCAATCAAATTGTTTTTTTCTTATTTTAAATTTAAATTGTCTTGTTTCTTTGGAAAAGTGTTTCACTCGCCCCCCCAACTCAAGAAAAAAATTCCTTATTTAAAAATTTTTTTTTGTTTCTTTATGTTTAAATTTTTTGCAGTGTAAGAAAAACAACAACTGCATAGTTTTATTTCGGGTGCATGCTATTGAATTATCTTATTATGAGACTAAAAATACTCGTTCCATTGGCAAATCATCTTATTTACCTGCTCAAATTAAGGGTAATTACACTAAATTTTATAATATTTTGACTTATTTCTAGATTGTTTTTGCAGTGGCCATCTTTTGAAAACTATGTTTGAATGAAGAGAAGACATAAACCTCCTTTTCCCGTCTCAGCAATGATCGTCCATCTCAGAGCTCAAGCTGAAGCCTTCAGTGAGCAAACAGAACAAAGGTGCTGCAACCGCAGCACATAAAATGTTTTACAGCTGAAAGGAAGGCAGAGTTTCAGCTACTGATGTGTGACTCACCCGCAGAGCTCGCTGAATGAGGTACCGAGCCAGAAAACTGTCGTGGTACGGCTCCACTTTCAGCGTCTGTGAATGCAAAGTCCACAGAAGGTTTGGGTCACCTAAAGCATGTCAGTGTGTTTAAGTCAAGGCGGATGTTCTTATAGCCAAAAGAATTTATAATTACAGCGACAAAAAGAAAAACAGTAAAACAGGCTGAAATTTGCTGACAGGATAGAAAATATTTGATCCTCTGCTGTTTGTAGAGGAGCTGCTAACATTTCCTTTAACTTCAACATGCATGGAAAGCTGTTCAACCAGCACCCATGAAATGAAACCACTTCCAGCATAAGAGGATTAATTTCTGCTCTTGTTACGACCGTCAGTGTCTGATGTGGGATTTTATGTCATAGATGATTTATTCAGTCCTGTTTAACTTGTTATTGCTGAATAAAGCTATGTGCTTCAGACCTGTGAGTTTATAGCTCTGATTCTCAGAGTAAATCCAGCTTCTTCTGTGAACGAGAGAACAAACAGAGTGAAGTAGACAGAGAAACACCTCAGAGTGCCGAGGGAGGTCAGACTGGGCGGGTACAGCAGCTCATGCAGAAGGAAAAGGTGAAGCATCTGAACTGATGGGTCAGCAGAGCATTAGCAAAGCAGCCAAGATAATCATGGTGACTCTGGAGGAGCAGCTGAGATGGAAATCTCAGGTTCAAGGACTTGGATGACTATTAATTGATCAATAAATCTGTCTTTTTAAGGAGGAAGGGAAAGAAGGGGGTCATTCAGGACAGCAGTCTGAGAGAAAGACCTTTGGAGAGAAAGATGTTAAGGTCAGATGAAAGAGAAACTAAACTTCCTGGTTTATGTGTGAAATGCAGGGAAAGCTAAAGCCTGCTTTATGCTCAGAAACAAGGTCATCTG